CTGCCGGAGCTGGTATTCGCAACCCGTACGACCAATAAACGGTCAACTGATCTCACTCCTGCCCAATTTAATTTCGCTCGCGTTCCCGCTTTTTAACAGTCTTCTTACTACAGAGTCTGGGGGAGGCTTCGCCCATACGTGAAGTTCGCAGAGGAGCTGCGAAAGCGTTTCTCCGACAACCTTCTTGAGGCCCGAAATAATCTCGACGTCGCCCGGGTGCAGCCGTCGGAACAGTACAACCAAGGGCGAGGTGATCTGCAGTTCGAGGTTGTCAATTTAGCACTCCGGCGTACTGACCCATTGAGTGACGCCGCTCGAGGCTTCGCAGCTTCCCTCGCAAACAAGTGGAAAGGTCCGTTTCGCTTGCATGAAAGGTGCTCGTTACACGATTACAATTTAGTTCACCACGAGTCAAGTGAAAAAACCGGACCTGTTCATGTCACCGAGCTTAAACGATTTCTTTCAAGCAGAAGACTAAGATCCTCGCAGGACCGGAACGACACTGACGACAGTGCCGTTCCGGAAGCCTCCTCGCCTTCAGCAGGGCGGCGGTAGAACCTGCGGCGACAGTGACATTAAAGAGAGAGGAATCTTTTTTCTCCTCCACTTCGCCTTTCTCGCATTTTGGGGGTAGGTTTCAACTTCAGCGTGTCTGTTCCCCTTTTCTGAGAGGGCGGGGGGGGGAACCCCCTCCCTTAAATCCGTTATTTCTAACTTTCTGGACAGGGTGCGAAGATAACGTCAGGCTCAACCCTGAACTAAGCCCCCATGTCGTCTGCTTCCTTGTTTTTCTACGAAGATGGCTTGTGGAAAACACTGTCACCACACCCGCCTTAGGAACGACACGGTGGCCGGGCCTGTGGTGGACCGGGTCACCAAGGACATTGGCGCGTCAGGAGCGGCCCCGGGAACCATGGACGGCGGCCACCCCCAGGACGGAGCAGCAGGTGGCTCGGATCAAGAAGGACCACGTGGAAAGCAGCCACCTGCTGGAGATGATCTAGTGCGACAAGGTGGCCACCAGCCGAGCTCTGAGGCAGAACAAGGAGCTCAAGCGACAGCTGGAGGAGATGTAGGGCGTCTTTGATAAGCTGGAGCTGACCGAACAGTTGCAGAAAAAGCAGCATGTGACCAAGGAGCTGGGGAGAAGCGGACGCGCCGAACGCATCGCGCCCGTCACCGAACTCGGGGCGAGCGCGACATGGAACTGGCCATCGTGCTGATCCAGCGACGCCGACCGGACCCGCTACGCCAGTCCGCCCATCAGCGCTATCCACCTCCGACGCCCACAACGTCGTCTCCGTCATCGACATGCCGGACGAAAGCTTGAGGAGGGGGAGGTGTGGGCACCCTGGCGGCTGGGGAGTCGCCAGGGTGCCCACACGCTGGCGGCAGTCGGGCACAGGTTCGCCACCTGTGCCCGACTCACGGTGTAAGATATACTCTTTAGGTGAGGACACGGCGGGGCTGAACGCGCGGCGCGAGGAATCAGATAGTGTTCGTTCGACGGGCATCCGAAAGGCTGCATTATTCCGCGGCCACCGTGCCCGCGGCTGACAGTGTCGCCGGCGGCCAAACGGCGAAACTGTGAGTGAGCGAAGAAAGTGGTCTTTCTGCACGAGCGACAACCTCGCTGGAGCTCTGCGCGTGTGGAGCATGAGGCGCACGAGCCGTCTTTGCCGTACCCACGGGTCGACGAGTCCTCTGCCGGCGCCGAACTTTATCTGCACTGCGCGAGGAGCGCGCTCTCCTCGCCTGAAGAGTATTATCTTACACCGTGGCCCGACTGCGGGTCACAGGAGGAGAACTTTTCTCGCGTGGCGGCGACGTCACGCCGGCTGCGCGCAATTCGCGTGCGCCGCCTGGATAAGGCGGATCAGACGCCGCGCAAAGGAAGTCGCTGGCTGGACTCACGCGCCACCGGTGCTTCTTGGTTTTCTGTTAGTAGTATTGTCACGGGTGGTGACCAAAAGAAAACAGGAAATAAACAAGAAGAAATAAACGTTTAATGTGGCGAACTTGTGCCAAAAATAAAAGAGTACAAAAGATAATAATAGAGCGTCGCGGGCGTCGAAGTCGGCGTGGCAGCAGAGTCGAACGCTGGGGCGAGACTGACTCGACAAGGTCGCGGGCGGCCTCTTATCTAGAGTGCGCCGCTATCTCGAAGATTCGTCGAAAGCGGTTCGAGCGTCGCGTGATCGGGGCGAGAATGAACACGCACTTTCTAGAAAACAAAAGCAGGGATAAATGATAGAAGTTACGTGCGGTACATGAATAAACGGGAACTTTCTTGAGGACCGTGACCGAGCGTTGCTTTCTCAGCCTTGCGCGCGGCAGTATAACCGTTCATGTCCAATTAAATGTACTTTCTTGTTGTTGACACTGTTGGCTCCGTGTTATTCCTCCGGGTCGGATATGCAGCAAGCTAAACCGACCACAGTAATAATATGTCAACTCAAAAAGCAGAACAATATGAAGAGCTAGAGTGGTAGCGAGCACTAAAGGGAGTCCGCACCCAATCAATTAGGCTAACATTTTGTCGGATATTGATATAAGGACCCGTATCCCAAGCCGAGCATCTTTTAATATGCATGCGAGTTCTTGTATATGTGCGTGGCTTCGCCACAAATTTTATATCTTCTGCTGAGAGTCAGTAGACAGTTTCGTTATTCCTACATCAGCGCCGAGATGTTTGAGCTGCTGATCAGTTTGATCATGACCATGTATATCTGCTTCCAAGAGCACCTTTCTGGTGGGTCTTTTAACACCGCTACTTACGCTCCCGAACAAGGTGGGGTGGGGCGCAAGGTACATAATGCCGTTGAAAGACACGGTAAAAAAAAAAAACAATAAACTGAATAGCAAATTTACCATGGCTTTTGGCCACATCGTAAAGGATGCCATTGCCTAGCAGAGCTTCCGAAGACTGCCTGTGTCTCCAAGGACAGCTATTTTTTTATGTGGGTTATTGGAAGTTGTTCATGGATGCGATACCGGCCCCCTTGAGAACCCTATTCCTTGTGTGGGGAGACATTGACATACTAAATACTTTAAAAGCAGCCCACACCTAGCAGCCATCAGGTATTGTCGACTCAAGTCCGCAAAGAGGAACCCGAACTCCACCTTCCGATAAACAATTACAATGTCTTCCAGCTCAGGGGATGACCAAATCAATTCGAAGGTTCTAATGAACACGAAACACTTCCGCAGCTTTTCTTTGTGACATATTTTCCCAGTAAATTAAACTATGAAATTCCGAGGGATTGGAAAACTAGTAACATAACCCCTGTGTTCAAATCTGGTAATCGCCACCTAATTACAAACTATCGGCCCATCTCCCTAACTAGCGTATCATCTAAGCTCATGGAACACGTAATTTACTCCAATATAATCAATTATTTAGAAGATAACAACCTCCTTTTTAATCTCGAACATCGTTTTCGGAAAGCGTACTCTTGCGAAACCCAAATAACGGCGTTTCTTCATGACATTCACGCAGGTTTTAATACCAACATTCAGACAGACGCCATTTTTCTCGACTTTTCTAAAGCGTTTGAAAGGGTCCCTCATCAACGTCTTAAAATAAAACTTAACGAATTTAAGATCCATCCCGCTATCCTAAATTGGATATCCGAATTCTTGACTAACCGCACCCACTACACCACCATTAATAACTCTAAATCCCCCTCTTGCCCGGTAACCTCAGGCGTCTCTCAGGGTAGTGTGCTCAGGCCCTTACTCTGTTTAATCTACATAAATGAGATTCATGAGCACATCACGTCATCAGTTCGGTTGTTTGGAGACGACTGCGTAATTTACAGGCCCATTCTCTCGCTCGACGATCACCATACCTTGCAAACAGAAATTGCACAAATTCTTCAATGGTGCAATGAATGGCAGATGACTCTCAATTTCTACAAATGTAAATTCCTTTCGTTTTCTCAAGGTGCTCTTCAACCTTTTTCTTACCATTTTGACGCGTCCCCCATCATCGCTTGCAGTTCATATAAATATCTCGGTATTCATTTAACAGCTGACCTTTAATTGACGTCTCACATCAGTAATATAGTAGCAAACGCAAACCGTACCCTAAGTTTTTTTGCGCCGAAACCTGAAACCCGCAACACCAGAGATAAAACAACTAGCATACTCAACTTTAGTTCGGTCTAAGCTTGAATTCGCTTCTTCTCTGGCGCCCTTGGCAATCTTACCTATCTAACAAACTTGAATCCATCCAAAACAGGGCTCTTCGTTTTATTTTTTCTGATTACTCACCATTCACGAGCATATCTAAATTGCGCGAAGCAGCTAACCTTCATACGCTTTCATTGAGGCGCCGAGTGTCCCGTCTCTCTCTCTCCTTCACCGAATCTTTCACCATAGCATGCCTCTTCGTGAATCACTGCTTTTATCCCCGTGGCAGATTTTCCCCCGCTTTGACCACTCCTGCAAGTTGCGGCTCATTTTTTCGGTAACTACTTCATACAGTAATTCAACATCATCTTTGACAATAAACGATTAGAACATACTACCAAATGACATTGTTACCATAACTGACACACATAAATTTGCCGCCTTTGTAACCACTTTAATTTCTGCTTTATCCGACTAGTTCCCTCTTCTATTGCGTTAAAATTGCGTGCGGAAGTGTTCGATTAAGGAAACAAATAACAAATGTACCACTCCCTTGTGTATTGCCCGTAAGGGCCTTCAAGGATAATAAATGATGATGATGATGTCATTGTAAGGCGTTTGACGTAGTGTCCTCCAGCGCATGTGCTCGGACGCATCTAGACGTATCACCGTAGACAGGGCCTAAAACCTACGAAAGACTACCATAGAAGGTGAGGGGATAAAATATATATTCAAATAAACATTTGACAGCGTCTTTGGTGTCCGATATTGTCTAAGATTTCCTGATCATCTCACGAAATGAAATAGCTTAGAATAGGTGTATTGTTCCAGGGTGCGGCCAACAAGGCTAAAGACAAGCGACTCACCAGGTATCGCTTATCGTTCATGAGTAGCCCGAGGGATATTCGGACGGCCACAGAGAACCACATGCGGTAGATGACGGTCGGTGCGTCCGGGTGTCGCTCCACGATGCGCTGCATCACCTCCATTGGTATGCTGCAAAGCTACCAGGAGGGAATTTCGGGACACGAGTGTATTTGAATCTTTAGAGTGCGCCACGGGTCACGGCGCCCCGATTCACGCAAAAAGCCACGAAGACGGCGAGGCCAAGTATGCATTTTTTCTCCAAAAAACCACGAGAGGAAATGGAATATTTTTGTGCTTTAGCTGAAATGTCCTCTTGGGAAGAGGTATAAACGTGATGTGAATTCGGCATTTTTCTCTTTCACATTCACGTTGAACAACGTGTCAAACCCTTCCCTCCTGCTGACGAAAACTGAGGTTGAATTTCTAAAATCCGAGATAAGCCCATCACTCTGACTTGCACTTCGCGTTTGTTATCTTCACTTCTCCCCCCTTCCTCCCCCTCCCCCCTTCTCCTCCTGGGTATAGTCGGCTGCTCGCTGCTGAAAGTTTACTCGTTTGCTAGTTGAAAGATGTGGTTGTGTTGTTCCTGTTTAATTGTTTAATTGTTTTATTCTTTCTTCATCCATGACTTAAACCAACATGCTCTCCTCCCAAGCATACCTAGCTCCCCAGCATCTCCAAGAATGCTCGAAAAAGTATTTACCTCGACATCTGTCTCGCAGACGGCGTGGCAGACGGACACCGTGTCCGTGAGAAAGCCGATAACTCCGAGCGCACTGGGGGACACCAGGTAGTCCTTAAAGTCGCCCTCGTTATGGAAGTGCTGGTTCGAATCGGCGTTCTCGAGCCGGCCCTCGACGTTACAGTAGTTGTCGTAGCCCTTGCCAGAGACCTGAGCACGAGCCGCAAGTTGCGCGGAAAAAGCGGCCTTCTGTACACGTTGTATTGAAATCACGTTAAATTACTATAAAGATTCAGCGGTTTTCTGGGGTATTTTTCTTCATATTTAGGGGTATTATACTTAAAATTATTCCGTTTGCAAAAAAGAAGCAAAAAAAACTTATCATAATTTATTATATACAAAACGAGATATTTGCACGAGATTCCCTAACTTCTAAGAAACCCGTATGCGATCGGAATACTTAAAAACAGTCTCGGTACGGATAAGAAACTGATCTTAGAAACGCGGCGTGGATCGCGAAGGCAAGAATAGTCTTCTGGATTGCAGACAGTAATCTGTGTTCCGGTTTGACACCGAATAAAGCAGTAGGTAATGCTTTTTACCGGTGACTTTATGACTTATCGGCAGCGGCCGAAAATGCGGAGCCCTAATTATATTCCAGTGACAGCAGACCATAAGTTTGGCATGCGAACTTAAGTTTCGTTTGCACATGAGAACATGAAAGACAGACTTCAACAAGGAATGAAGCTCGATAGCGGTGCCCTAACGACCGAGCAACCTCAAAATTAAGCGGTGACTGCGAAGTTCATAACGTTGTCTAGCAAGAATCACCACCCATGGTCTTTGTTCTCGGCAGTAACGATTTTGTTCTACGTTTTAAATACTGGCGTTGTCTCTACAACAATGAAACCCCACGCTGCTGCGAGAGCACGTGCTTCGTCTTGCGAACGGTGTGCAGTATTGGGGGGGGGGGGGGGGGGGGGTATTCACTGGACGCCATTTTTAGGGCAATGTTTAGAGGGCATGCTCAGAACTGGCTGACATTATTGGGCTGCTAAAACCGGCCATCTGGGCGGTGCTGAGTGCACGTTGCAGAACTGTGGAAGCCCGCCGTCAGCAGATAGCAGGTTCAGCAGCCGCGCTCACAGATATGGTTGCCAGTGAATACTCCTTATACACTGTGGTCATCCGACGGAGGCTTATGGCGAAGAAGGCGCCGTATCACTGTGCTTTTGGTTGCACGTTAAAAGATTTCCAGGTGCTCAAAGTAATACCTCAACCCCCCGTTGGGGTGTGCCACATGCCCGTCGTTGGTTTGACACGTGAAACTCCCAAAATTTGACTTGTCATTGTTCACCCTTAAAGGGATACTGAACCAAAAATTCAGTGTCGATAATAAGTGGCACACGTTCTTCCCACGAGCTAGCAGCCGCCGGTGTGCACGAGCACACACAACCAAATTGACGTCATAGTCCCCCATTCACGCATATGATGACAGTGTGCTGTATGGGCTTTGGGCCGAAGGAGAATAAAGAGAGGCTTTACATTTCCACAAGGAAAAGCTACGTGCTTGTTAGACCAATTAATCGCTTACCGTTTACACCAGAACTTACTGTTGAGATGAAAAGCTTGTCTTTATTCTCTTTTTCCCCGGAGCCCACACATTCAACTGTCATCTAAAGCGTAAATGGGGGACTATGACTTCAATTTCGTTGGGTGTGCACGCGCACATAGTCGGCTGCTGGCTCGTGAAAAGGTCGTGCGCAGCTTATTTTAGACACTGAAATTTTTGGTTCAGCATCCCTTTAAGCTGAGACTGTAGCCAAAGAACCAAGCGCGAGCTATACCACTCTATATTGACGGTGAGCTAGCCCAACAAGATGAACTTTTTTCTTCCCCTAGACCTGGTGCTCGTATCCGTTTGCAAGACCTATTCCCGAAGTGAACATGTGAGCGTGAATAAAGTTAACGAAGGCTTTAAGTCAATGGAAGTTGCTGCAGAGGTTAGCATACACTACGTGGTGGGCCCCTGAATGCGAAGTTGCAAGTTGCAAGAGAGGAAGTACATCCAGTCCGATCAGGGCTACTCCTCGCGACACGACGACGTAAAGCACTTGCGCTGCTAAGGAATATTTGCACGTAAATTTGGCAACAAAAGGAAGAAAAAAAATTGAAATGAGCCGTTTTGAGTATTTGTTTGTTGTAATAGTTGGTTAAAGTGGATGCTCACTTGAAATTTATTCTGGTAGATTTTATTTAAAAAAAAGAAAAAAAAGAAAATGCAGATTTAGTGTCAAGTATGGATCTGGAATCTTCCTGTTCCATCTACATTTTTATGAAGTTTCTGGCATTGCGACCTTCTGAAAGTTCCACAACTTTAGTGATAGGGTCAGTTTCTTCTCGTGCGATTGAACTGAAGTTCGCTATTAGTGGTGAGATACGAACTCACCACCTTCATTGTTGACGCTCTGCCAACGCAAACTGAGCCTAAATGTTTCTTTTCTGCAATTCGATCAGGTTGTTTTCCTTCCTGGACACCTAGCAGCACTTGCAAGGTGACTTGCCAATTCCCAGCGGTATCATGTTTTTTTTTTTTTATTTTCCCTGCCCGGCTGATGAGTCAGTGCCTGGTTTTTATTTTAACTTCGAGTATTTCCCCCCTGGATACGCGAAGTTTTTGTAAAACTGCAACAGTGACTGTTGTTGCTTGCACTTCCTCCTTGAACTGTTTCACGCTGCGGGCTAAATTCAAAACTTTTAGGAAGATAGTGTGGAATCTTCAAGAAGGGGTCGTTCTCGAACGTGAGTCATAGAAGATCCTTCTATTAGTTGGTCACGTATGGCTTTATTTGATGACTAGCCGAAATTGCAAGTTTGAGAAAATCCTCGTAATGCACTGAAGAATTCACCAATCGTTTCACCAGGAGCTTGAGTACGCCGGCGCAACATGCGGTTTTCTGTAATAAGGTTGTACATTATTGGGTAGCGCGCGTCAAGAGTCGCAGGAGCGTATTGTGGTGTAGCAGAATGTGCCCAGCAGGAACACTGGAGGAGTGCAGTATTTCATCGTCTTCTCCTTTTTAATAACTAACCCTACTTTCCCTTTCTTCGCTTGAAAAACAACAATGTTACATCTTTTTTTAATATCTGGTGTAGGAAAGAGCGTGACCTTGAAGTTGAGAGACACAGCAATAACCTCCACTTGGGCGCCATGAAAATAAAGTATTCCTCTTCGGTAGTCAAACTTATAAAAGCGGTTCAACTTTTTTTATAAAGGGCAAGAGACCACCAGTGACAAGAGTGCGCATATTCCAGTGTATATACCTTGGACCTTCCAGAAAACCGAGCACGTACCTTCACGATTCCAGATATAATGATGGAGATACATTCGTGCTGGTGACCCGCGAACACCAGCACTCCTCCTTTCCTGTGGGAGTCGTGAAATGCCTGCAACCAATATTATTTGGCTTTTATTTCCGTACTCCAAAATCTCTAAAATGCCGTTTTAGAGCGCGCACAAAACAACATTTTGACAATAGATTCTAATGGCTTTGATGCGATTAAATACGATTAAACTATTTTTGTTTTGTTTAGCTACTGCAGAGATTGAAATATAAAGTTCCTACCCCCAGCAACTCTAGCATTAGTGTGAAAAATGAAACACAGAATGGAATACAGGATCATTATAAAAAGTGAAATTTTTAATATTTAAATGAATTGTTTCTAAAATGTTGAAAGTTGCGTTTGCTCAAGTTATAAGCATAATGAAGCAAAAATAACATATTGAAATAGGAAAAAAAAAGCGAAGTTTTACTAAACTGCGAGGGTTGCAAAATGCAATAAGGCATAAGTTAAAGCTTCCGGCAATTTATGCAGTTCAGATGAAAGTTTTGGAAAAAGGAGTATCAAAATTATTATTCTCATATTATGCCTCTTTTGTGATGCGCTCATAGTGGATGAAAATAAAATTACGAAGATCGGTTCTTTGCGGGTGAAGTTGCGTCAATAATGAAATATCGGTATCTAACAAGCTAATTTAAAACAACTCGAAAAGTAATTTATTGACTCACTTTCCAACGGTTTCCAATCAACATTTTGACATGTATAAAAAAAATCACAAAACATATATCTGGACAAGATATCTGCGCCAGTGTCTCAATCAGTTCACTCGAAGTACGCACTAACTTGCAGTATAAACGCAGACAGTCGGACTTAAAGGGGAAATTCTGAACCAGCCTTTGCTTCACGCTATGCGCTGTGGGAGCGAGAGTCTGCTACCACGCCCAGAGGCCGCTGCCGACTGCCCAAAGTGCACAACGCCCGAGGCGCACAACAGCGCACAAAGAATAGGCGCGAGAGCCTATAAAAGATGGGACAGGCCCAGAGAAGGGAGGAGCCGGACCGAGGTCATGGAGGCGTGTAGATCGAACGCTACGGCCATGGTATACTTCAGTACTAACAACCGCTTGCCGCTACTTTACTAAATGTAGTTTCTCGTTTTGGAAACCCCAGCTTAGTGTTGTTCCTCCCGGATAAGCATGCAGCAAGGCATTCCTACCACATGGCGCAAAACATACTTTTGCTGCCCCTCTGTCGCATGAGTGACACGGGGCTGGGTTTCTTCCCTCGGCAAGTTGTTTTTCAACTGCGGTGTTTCTTTTCGAAGTAGTGCTTGTATTCGCCACAGAGCGATTGCTCGTTGAATCGGAGCCTCAATGCATTCCATAGTCGCGCGGGGGCGTGTTTATCGCTTTGGGGGCGTGTTCATTTTTCTCGAGGGGAGTTACCGTCTGTTGCCGCACACGTTATTCTTGTCTTCTTGGCGTTTCTGTTTTTTTCCCGCCATGTCTTCCACTGCGGACCGAGATGAAGGATGGCGAAAAGCCTGGAGCAAGCGTGGATCCCGGAGAAGGCTAGGCGGACGCGCAAGCCGAATTGCTACTGAAGGTGGCAGCCATGTGTGATGGTGTCACACAGCGTCTCACTGTGCGGCAGTCACGTAAGCCGGAGCTGCGTCCCCAGCTGACGGTGCCGGTCTACGCTGGCTACAACGACGCCAAGTCAATCGCCGACTTTCGGCGTGAGCTCGACGTCTACAAAGCCGCCTCCAGGCGCCTCGAAATCCCTCCTGATAAACCGAATACTCCCACTCGCTCTACAGTCTAGCCCTGCGTGCTGGTTATGGCTGCAACCTACTTTCACCAGCCTAGCGGAGTTTGAGCGATAATTTCGAGCAGAGTTGCTGCCAC